CACATACCGTGGGCACAGTATGACAGAAGATTTTAGTGGTTTTCAAACTGACTTTTTCATATCACTGTATACCTTGAAACCAGTATTCGGCCCATGCCTAGTCATGACAGAACATTTTTCCTGTATGTAGTGTTTTGCCACCATGACAAAGAATGACGCATTACTTAATCTTTTATTGTTTGACATTAGTTTTTGCTCTTAGTTCAGTCAGTCGATCATATTTTACAGTAAATGAGTAAATGAAGCTCAGGTGCGAGCTGCTACCTTAGTGCTCCTACTGCTCTCTTCAAACAGCTGTGAGGAGAAGCGGGTGCCGTTTAGAGCCACCGTGTCTTTGGGCTCGCCGGCCGATGGCGAGGGGCCGGAGGAGAGCGACAGCGCGTTGAGCTGCTCCTCCAGAGACAGGACGATCCCATCGCCCTGCAGCTCTGACGTGTCCAGCGTCTGTGTAAGAAAGACTCAATGAATGCTTGTGTTGTCCACACGACGTGTTCTTATCGACGAGTCAATGTGTGCAAACCTTTTTAAGAAGCGAGAGGTGGCAGCAGCACTGTCGGAGACGCAGCAACAAGGACAGGATGTGGACAGTGCTGGACGGCTGCGGTGGGCCGGACACAGCAGGAGCAGACTGGGACAAACCGAACTCCTGGGCCACTGGAGCAAGAGGAGACACAAACTTCAGGAACAGAAAACCACAAACAAGAAAAAAAAACAAGATGAGGCCCCACCTTTTTCAAACGGATTTAAAGCTGAAGCGTTTCCCTTCTCCACATCGTTTCCTTCATGTCTCTTCAGGTAGCTCTGCAGTGTGGATCTAAGGAAAAAGATTTATGTGTTCTTAAACTAAATGTGATTTAAAAGAAATACAATTTGACTGTTTGAAGTTACAAAATAAAGTATGAGATCAGTCACCAGTAACACAGCAATGAAAAACAAACTGTTATTTTACCTGGACTGAGCGAACACCACATCATACACAGCCTTCTCATCCTCACAGAGTTGGAGCTGATGCACCTCACAGGTCCGATTAGGAAGATGCACCTGAAACAATCAACACTTCTCTGTAGGCACACCTGAGAAAAGGTGAGTGTTGCAGTCTTCATGAGGAGACGCACTGAGGTTTCATTAAAACACATGTTGAAGGTAGGAGTGGTGTTTGTGTCTTTACCAGTGGTTTTCCTGCAGAGTCCAGCTGGTCTTTGGTTCGTCTCAGCAGCAGAGTCCTCGTCAGGATGTTGAGTCTCTCTCTGCCTCGTGTGGAACCGTTGTCCACCTGAGCTTTCCACAGTTTGTATTCATCAAATGGAGAACAACGCAGAAACCTGAAAACAGACAGATTTTTATTCTCAAACCCTGCTGACTTCAGCAATTCTTCTAAATTATTACACAAAGGAGATTATTACCAGAGTTGCACATAAGCGGTGTGCAGGTGAGCATGCGCGGTCAAAAAAGAAAAAAGAACACCAGATGGAATGTCATGAAGCTCACTTGCGTACCTAAGATTGTACCTGAGATTGTCTGGCAAAACAACAGCTAGCAGGGCTCTAGAGTGCAACCAGTTTGGTCGTAACCTGATTTCTTAAATAAAAAATTATAATAAAAATAAAAAAATCCAGCCGCACTGGTTCGTTGTTCGGTGATGACCTCTTAGGGCAGCGGGACCCTGATATAATGATTAAACGGACACGGCCTTCAACAAATCAGACAAAGTCCAAAGCCATTTTATCCAATCAGAGCCGAGCAGGGCGGGACTTTCAGTGAGAGCAAGTTTGGTTGAAGCAGCGGGCCGGCTCGAGTCGACTTGAGCTGCTGCAGCGACGCGATCAGTCTGACATCTCCTCCTGCACTTTGCTCCTGAACTACCAGAGATTTTGGTCTGTAAAACCTAACTTTATATTAAATATGTGTTCAGAGTGTTGTTATCAAACAGATCTGTCCAACTCTGTGTGAGTGACTAAACTCTCCTTCTGATGAGAGACTGCTGTGACGGGAGCGCGTCGCTGCGCGCGCAGGCAGTCTTCCTGTGATACTGCAGGGTCCCACTGTTTGAGTTCTTCTAATTATCTGATTATTCTATATTCTATATCTAATCTGATTATTACATAATCCACATTAACTCTAACAGAATATTTGTTTGCCCCATTTTAAAGCAAAGATGATTCTATGTTTAAATTTACCCCCATCAAAAAAATTATATATATTAAAAAAATAAATAAAAACAACTTGCCATGTTCTCTAG